GGTTTGGTATTTTTCTCCATCTTGCAAATTTTTCCCAAATAGAGCCGAGGTGGCGCAGTGGTTAGAGTGCAGCACTGCAGGCTACTTCAGCAGTTCTGCAGTTCAGCTGTTCAAATCTCACTGGCTCAGGGTTGACTCAGCCTTTCATTCTTCCGAGGTGGGTAAAATGAGGACCCAGATTGTTGGGGGCAATATGCTGACTCTGTAAACCGCTTAGAGAGGGCTGAAAGCCCTATGAAGTGGTATATAAGTCTACTGCTATTGCTATTGCTATAAAAATACTTGGGATAGGCAGATGTTGTAGTTGGATGGTGTTAAAGGTCTTGTCACAGGATGTAAGCTGTTCCAAGCAAAGCAGCCTTTTGCAATTGACCGATGGTCAATGAGGATGGTGTTCAAGGGATGATCCAGATGTTACTGTTAGTATTGGTACTATCTTGGCTTTCTTTTGCCACAGTTGTTCTGCTTCTATTTGCAGGTCTTTGTATGCGATGATTTTCTCTAGTTCTTTCTCTTTTCTTTTGCTGTTTCCAGGTATTGTAATGCCCACTATCCAGACTTGTTTTTCTTAATGACAGTTGTTAAGTGTGGTGTGCAGATGCATGGCTGTTTGAATTCTAAAGTTCCAGAGCTTCTTCATTGCTTCTTCATTGCTATTACTGGCACTTTGTATAATTGGTGGTCCCATCAGTTTTTGCTTGCAGGCAAATTAGGTTTCTTGCAGATTTTCCAATGCACCATTATTGCTATTTTGCCCTTCATCTTCCTTCACTTCCAGGTAACTAATTGGGCCCTGGGGAAGTTCCCACCACCTAAAGTATTGGTGTATGTCAACGTGCCAACTAAAGTTCCTTCTGGACTGATATGGAAGATTGGTAAAATCCTAACTGTGGTACGTCAGTTTATTTAATATGGAAATCTACGTGAAATGTTGTTCTGTGCTCTAATCTAAGCTCTCCAGGCTGTTTTAAACAATCCACTTGCTTCCATCAAAAGGCTCTATTGGAAGTAAGATCAAAACTTGCAATTTGGCAGGTGCAGCAGTGTGATCCAAACCTATGGTGCACCTATAAAAGAGGTGAGGCTTGGATTGCGATGTCATACCCAATCTTACAGCTTTTCACACACAAACACATACTTTACAATTACCAGACACATTTAATTTTTTTTAAAAAATACTATGAATCTTCCCTTATCTTTAAATGATTTTGTTTAAGGCGAAGAGTGTTAATGTCATTTTCTAAAATACAAGTGTGTTAGGAATTACAGGAGGAAAAAATAATGTCCAAGTTTACAAACGTAGGGTGGGTAACACAGCATATTTGACATAATCGATCGAGGCATACTTTTTAATATCAAAAACGTTACAATTTACTTTGTCTGCTTCTACCATACACGAGTAAGCCAAAATTTTGAGCCTCCTTTTCAAATCACTGAAATAATCCCCACTCTCATACTATGTTCCCATCTAAATATGTATTTAATTTATATCTCAATTAATGTTTACTTGATAATCATGACAGATAATCTGGGGCTATCTTGTTTCCCGCATTTAAAACAATCCTGGGGTGGATTAATGTAGAACACTGTTTCTGGCTGGGAAATTTTGGGAGTTGAAGTTCACCCATCTTCAATTTGCAAGGTTGAGTAACACTAATAACAAAGAAAAAAAATCTTGGTTTCACTGTGTAGTTTAGAAACCTTTTAAAAATATTTCTGTAATCCTCTGAAAGCCTGCTGTCTAGGAAATCAACAATAAATTAAAGATTTTGATTCCAGCAGACTCTGGAGCACCTTGCTGGTTTAGTTACACTGACAAAAAAAATAAGGTTGCGATGTCACAGCAGTAAAGATGACCATTTCAGCCATCCATTTGATGTTACATGTTTTGCATGACAATAACATGGAATAGTTGAGTGTTGGTTTTTTTTAGGATCCTGATGTGAATTGCCAGCCTGAAAAGAACATGACCTTAAGGAATTATCCCACGTTAATTAAGGTAGGTTATATCTCTAAATATGATGCAATATTATTAAGTAATTAAAATATGCTGCTTTACATGTGCAGCCTCATGCACTGGATGGATGGGAGATGAAAGAAAAGGAAGCAGAGATAAACCAAAGAAAATCATGTATAGGTTGTCCTCAGCTTATAACAGTTTGTTTAGTGACAATGTTCAAAGTTACAACGGCACTGAAAAAAGTGACTTATGACCATTTTTCAGAGTTACAACCTTTGCAGTATCCCCATGATCATGTGATCAAAATCCAGATGCTTGGCAACTGGTTCATATTTATGACGGTTCCAGTATCCCATGGTCATATAATCCCCTTTTGTGACTTTCTCACAAAGAAAGTCAATGGGGAAGCCAGATACATTTAACATCCGGGTTACTAACTTATCAACTGCAGTGATTCACTTAACAACTGTGACAAGAAAGATCATAAAATGAGGGAAAACTCACAACAAAGGGCTCACTTAACAACATACATTTTGGGCTCAATTGTGGTCATAAGTCGAGGGCTGCCTATACTTATTTCAGTGAAATAATCATGCTTCCATTAAATTAGGAATTAGCAGAGGGTAGATTGGGATTTATTGATTGCCAACCCCATTTCTTTTAACAATAACCCAAAGAGAGAATTTGTTCCTCCAAATTATGCTGATATGGAGAACAGTCAGGAGTGGATTAGATACCTAGAGGATCTAAAAATTCTCAGGAAGGAACTGATAACTCTTGTAAGCTGATGCTTACCCAATCTTTTAGGTAACTTTGGGAACTAAGGTAGTAGATTAAAGGTTTAATGGAAGAGGTGGGTTTCAAGCAGAACTTTAAAGGAAGAAAGTACCGTATATACTCGAGTATAGGCCGACCCGAATATAAGCCGAGGCACCTAATTTTACCACAAAAAACTGGAAAAGTTATTGACTCGAGTATAAGCCTAGGGTGGGAAATGCAGCAGCTACCGGTAAATTTCAAAAAAAATAATAATAGATACCAATAATGTTTTTGAATATTTATTTCAAAGAAAA